GGAGTTTGTCTCTCATTTTTTTCGTTCACTTGGTAAGGCCCTCGACATCCACCTCCACTTCACCTCCAGTTATCATCCGGAAGGAGACGGTCAGACCAAACGGATGAACCAGACGCTCAAGCAGTACCTGTGCATCTACAGTAACTACCAGCAGGACAATTGGTCCGAACTCCTGCCTCTCATGGAATTCGCATACAACAATGCTCCGAATGCCACCACAGGCGTCTCCCCGTTCTTCACCAACAAAGGCTACCATCCGAACATCACTGTTCACCCGGAGCGAGACCTGACATCAGTATGTGCCCAAGAGTACTCCGTAGATCTCGCCTCCCTCCATCACTTCCTTCGCAAGGAAATGCATCTCGCTCAGATCCGTTATCAGGGCCCCACAGACTCCCATCAGAGTCCTGCCCCAGCTTTCAAAGTAGGAACCTTGGTCTATGTAAAGGCCAAGTATTTCCGCTCCACCTGACCTTCCAAAAAGCTCTCCGAGAAGAACCTCGGCCCATTTGAGATCATTGCCCACGTCGGAACTCACTGTCAGGGGACGGACCCCGGGTCCCCATGACCCCTCTCTATGGCCCACAGCCTAACCTATGAACAGCCCTGTCCAGGGCAATAACTACTGTGGGTAAGAAAGTGAGAAGAAGGTTAACTTCTCACTTTCCCACAGTGGCCCCAATATGGCGAAAACTTCCGGGGATACCCGGAAGTCACATGAGGTGGGATCCGGGGTCGGATCATGCGGCGCGCAGAGCGTGCGGTGCAGGAAGTGCATGGGAAGTGGAGTGGGTCCGGACGCGGGTCCGGGTCCGGGCTAAGTCAGGGTATGTGCCCTGACACTCACTCCCTCACCCTCCGCCTGCCGGAAAACATGCGAGCCATTCACCTGGTATTCCATGTCTTGCAGATCAAACCCTCTGTCCCAAACATCATTCCGAACTGCCACCAGCCACCTCCGCCTCCCATAGAAATTGAAGGCAAAATGGAGTTCGAGATCGAGGAGATACTCGACTCCAAGATCGACTGACATAGATGCAACAAGTTGCTCTACCTGGTCAAGTGGCTAGGCTATGAAAGGACTGACAAGGAGACACAATGGCTCCTTGCCGGGGAACTCAATCATGCCTCCGACCTCGTCAAAGCATTCCACTCTCGGTACCCAGATAAGCCTGGACCTGAAGCTCCTTAGGAACCCCGACTCCTCTCTCATCTCTCCTTTCTCTCCACTCCTCACTTCCATTTTCTTTTTTTCTTTTCTGTAAGTACAGCTCCCCTCACCTTACTAATTCTGGGCCTTCAAGGGTTCAGGCCTAAGAAGGGGATACTGTCATATCCATCCCCAGCCATCGACTTCCGATCCCTCCGATCCCTCCGGTCCACCTCTGCACCTTCTTCACTAACCTCAGAGCTCCCATATTCTGCAATCCCCTCGGTACCCCTTGATGGTCACCACCCCCTCCTTTCAATTTATTACCTATGCCTCCCCAAGTACGGAGCCCCAAAGGCTTCCAGACAGCTCTGATGTCCGCTAGCACACTCCCACCTCCGCTGGACAATACACTTGCTTGCCCTGCAAAGCCCACCTTCGGGCCTATCCCTCCTTTCCATTTCTGGGTTATCGCCTGCCTTTCCATCAACCCCGTAACCTGACTCGTCGGTAATATTCAATCGGCTAATGTCTAACCCCGTTAGCTCTGCTCCACCATTTGCGGACCCGCCCTCGCTGTAACTATATATACTCAATTTGTACATAGGTTACACTTCAGTAATAAAATCGACTAGAGTTTACCCCCTTCAGTTCTGGTTGCCAGTTTAGTAAGTTAGGGCACGGACATGTTACTTGGCACAGCGCTCCTGGCATAAGTCGCTGAGGCTGAAGCCCTCCACCACAGAGACACTCCTTCATCTCAACCTGGTCTCTGACAGTAATAAGGAAATGTCAGGGCACACACCCTGACTAGCCCGGACCCGGACCTGCACCCGCTTGTGCACTCTGCCCCGCATGCTCCATGTGCCACATGCTCCGGGCCCGGTTCCCACTCTTCATGTGACTTCCGGGTATCCCCGGAAGTTTTCGCCATATTGGGCCACTGTGGGAAAGTGAGAAGTTAACCTTCTTCTCACTTTCTTACCCACAGTAGCTCTTTGCCTTGAGACTAGGCTGTTACAGGTTGGGCTGTGGGCCATAGAGAGAGGGGTCATGGGGACCTGGGGTCCGTCCCCTGACAGGAAAGAAGAAAGAAGAGAGAAAAGAGAAGGAAGAAGGAAAGAAAGGGAGAAAGAGGGAAAGAGAAAAGAAGGAGGAGGTAGGGGAGGAGTGGGTAGCAGGGGACCGAGTCAGGTGGGGCCGGGTCAGGCAGGTGTGCCCTGACAACAATGGCAAGCTCATGCCACAAGATCGTAAGCATCGTCTCAACAAGAAACTTTGCATGTTCTGTAGACAGTCTGGCCACATGGTCAAGGACTGCCCTAAGTCTTCTTCTTGCGCATCTAAGGCCTGCACGGCCCAGACCGAAGAGCAAGGATCCGCTTCTGCAGAGGCAAAAAATTAGTCCGCACCCCTGTGGACTCTGCATGGACCAGGGGTTGCAATTCTTCGCTCTGTGCACTCAAAGACATATGCCTAAATGCGTCTTCCATTTCCGACTTGTCCTCCCTCCACATTCCCATTTCTTTCTCTCTTTCTGATGGTCTATTTCCTCCTTTTAATGTTGACCCTTCAGTTAATGTTCTACCCATTGTAGATAGTGTTGATAGTTCACTTTCTTCTCCCCCTCCACCTCCGACTACTTCTGTAGATCGCTCCACTTCTCTTCTCTTCTCTTCTTTCACCTCTCCTGTCCCTACTTCCCTGTCCGATGTTAGGACAAACAATAAACTCTTCTGCACCTATGAGAACATTCCTGCACTCGTAGACTCTGGGTCTTTGGACTGCTTCATCAATGACAAATTTGTGAAGGAGCTGGCCCTGAAGACATATCAGATAAAACCTCTACAACTACAGACTTGTACCCAGCCGTCTCCGCTACGTGGACGCGCAAAATCTCGACTAAGTGGTTGTTATATTACAATTCAGTTATAAAGTCATGTTCAAGTACAAAAGTGTATTACAATATAAAAGTCACATGCGATGGACATAAACACAAGTCCGATCACCTACTCCGGAAACCAACTTGCAACACTTCGCTCCAATGACTGGTGCAAAATGGCAGTGGCGATGCTCCACGGCAACTTCTGGGACCGACGGGAAAGCTAGTATCTCAGCCTCAAACCCCTCCTGGCTCCTTCCAACCACCGTGCCACCATGAGCAGGTCTGTAGAACAAGCAGCAGATGTACTTGTGTTACGGATACGGAGTCTCCAACAACCATATCCATCGCATGGTCAAAGACTTCCCCTCTCTATCGCTCCTCCCCTCTTTCTCCTTTCCGTCCTCTATCCCGCTACCCTATCCTCCTTACCCGTTCTACCCCTTTCCCCCCCCCCTCGTGCAAAGCTTTCCCCATTGGGGTTTTGGTGCTGGCCGAGGTTGTTTGTGTTTCACGGGATTTCCCGCGACCTTACCATTTGTAGATAGTCACACGTCATGTACGGAAACCGCCGAAGGCGGTTCCCACTAACTAACAACTGCTCTACAACTGTCTCGTGTACCGTCTTCTGTAACAACCCTCCCTGTGACTCAACTGAACCCGTGTGACTGTACAACTCTCAATATGTCTTATAAGTCTGGTTATATCGAGTCCTCTAACGGCCCACGCCGCAAGAACTCGAGGTCGAGAGTCGAAGACTCTCGACATGTGTATCGTCCTACTGAATCTGTACCCTATGGGTCTTCATCACTCCGCTCTCCCCCCAGTACTCAACATACGACGTCACCTCACGATCTTGGAGATCGTGAACACTTTGAGGCCCATCTTCCCGTGATGCCGGCACGTTCGCTATGCGAACGCCAAGTCGCCGCCCATCCACTGTCTGTTCCCTCCTTCGCCAGTCATCATGTTTCCCCGCCAACGGTACGTTCCCTTTGGGAACGCCAAGTCACCGAAGGCCCTACTAGTCGGTCCTCACTGCACGCTTATGACATCGACCTGCTACTGGTACGTTCGCACTGCGAACGCCAAGTACCCGATAGCAACTATATGGAGTTCTCACCCATCTCACAAGTCGCGACCTCGCACATGGTACGCTCCATTGAGGAGCGCCAAGTACCCGTGGCTGACCCATCCATCCTGGCATCTCCGACTACCTACCATCAATCCCTTAATAGCTCACTACATCACCAATCGCGATCGATGGGAACTCGATCGTCCACCCCCAGGCAAGACTGGGATCACTCATCGATTACATATCCTGTTATGGTACAGACCAGATATGACCTCACTCATCCCACTATAAGAACGGATCGAGGAATGGGGAATTTTCCCCATCCCCGTAACAACTTGAGTACATGACATCCAATGGGTTCACCCTCACGTCCTTTCTATCAACTCTGTTGACTTCCATACACTTTGGTGACATACTGCGTGAAATTCAATTCCATATTCTCAATCCTGAGGAAAATCCTGGGAGTGCTGTCATTGTGAAAGACTGGATCCTTACAAGTGCTGAAGCCGTTTACATGGAAGAAATATGGATACTCATGGAAAAGGAGAGCGGGCTTCACATGACGGCCTACAACCTTCATCCGGCACAGCTTGAAGGGGGAAGGATCCGTGCATTGGCGCCATTTTTCGAGTCTAGGGTGCCAGCACTGTGGGGCCTTTTCCAGAAACTGCTTGTAGTGGAAAGTAAGACGCGAGTGAGGCGTTGGGCAAAGCCTGCACCTCCAAGCACAGAAACTTGCAGTGGAAGGAACAAAGCTGATGATGGGGACCACATTAGTGCGGGAAGGCAGTTGAAGGGAAATTCTTCAGAGAGACAGTTTTCCCTCCTTAAAATAGTAAGTGATGATGCACTTGTTGAGTATAACGGTTGACTTACCAAAGAACCCTGCTTAGAAGGGAGTTGTGATCATATCGCTAATTGTGAATAATTGCAATGAGCACTGTAATGCATTGCAAGTGCAAAATTCTTTCTATTTGGCTGCGTCAAATGCTTCAAAATCAGTCCGTGGGTGGGCTGCTCACACTGGACTTGCAGTTTCCCCCTCATCGATTGAGAACATTCGAACTTCATTGATAAAGAATCAAAAGATCTTGAACAAAAGCCTTGGTCGCACTCGCATCGTGAACTTGGCATATGATAATTGCGACTTCAAGTTTGGGGTTGGCCAGCCAACGGACCTTAAGGACCGAACATTCGAGAGCATCACGACAGGCCTGTTCTTTATGCCACCAAAGGAAGTGCTTCCTGAGCACTTAGAATACGCCGAAACGATATGGAACACTCACCCAAACAATCCCAATTCCATCAATGTACCAGCTGCGATCACCTTTGCCGATATTGTACCAACAGCTGCCGCTGTGTTCAAGTTGATGAAGCATTGTCAGTGGCACATTAAATCAGTATTAATTGAAGAATACTTCCCCGAACTGCGTCCACATCTCATAGACCCACCATCGACATTTCAATTACCACCACATCGAACTACATACTCAACCGCAGAGGCTGTCTATGCAAAGGCCTCTACTATCGATGGGAATGTGGAAGCAATAATGTCACTTCTCGAACAAAGCGGCATCATGGAGGAGAGGGTTTTCGAGAAGCATGTAATCCTGATCCATGGGGATCTCGGGACAATGGAGAAGATTGAGACAATTTTGAACTCACAGCGAATTGAACAAAGCATATTGGATCGTATGCACTACCTTCTGCCTATACCAGGACTTTTTCACGTTAGAATGGTATGTGTCGATGCAATGAATAGGATTCATGCGAATGGGGATAACTTACGAAGTGACCCAAATGGACTCTACAAGCGCCTCTGTTTGCTCTTTCCGAACGACCTCGCCAAATTGAACAAGGCTGTCCCTCCTTTCCGGATGGTGAATGACGGATTAAACTATATCACCCAGTGTACCATTCTTGATGCGTGGGCAGAGAGTGTGGACGGTGATCTTGAGGGATTTGTTGCCTCCAAACCCACCTTGGAAGAGATTGACCGACGTGCCGAGGAAATCGAAAGGTTGCATTTCAGAACCAAACAGAATGCTATGGACCAGCAGCAGCGGCAGGATCAGGATCAACGGAGGACAAACCAACTTTTGTTTAATAGAGACACGATGTACTACCACATCCTCGTGCATGCGATGAACCACGGAATGGTCGATGTGATAATCGACGTTCTTTTGTTCTGGGTTCCAATCTTCCAGGCATGTGGAAAGCATAAGTATGCAACATACCTTTCGAATTTCATCTTCAAACTACGACACTACCCGCTACCACTTCAAGAAGCCATCATGAGGAGCTGGCTCTGCAATCCTGCAGGGAAAGGTGGCGGGTTTAGGGCAATTGACTGGCTGGTCGAACTGATGAATCTTTATACGAAGGTGTGACGTGCAACCAATTAGTGAATTCAAATTACTAATGATGTTACACGCCTCTAGGTTGTCTACTCGGGGACGGGTTCTGGAAAAACAATAGAGTACATCATTAGTCAGTCATCGATCATTGAGGCTTATAGGTCCTGCATTGAAGACATTGAAGATGATTACTACATACCTGACAAAACCCTTCACCATGCAAGCCCCGACATGGGATCCCGACTACTCGCTATACGCCAAGAACTTCGTAATCTTTGCCCTCACAAGTACAAGAGAGGACGCACTTCACCTACTTTGATCAACGACCATGTTCAGAAGGGCCTGGAGATGTTCCAACATGGGACGATGTGGGCCTCTGTTAATACAAAGCAATCAGAATCAATGGATGACACTTACGAGGTTGAGGCAGCGGACTTGGATGTGTAGTCAGCGATGACCTTGTGCCCATAGCCGACGTGTCTGCTCGACCGGCAAAATTTTCCTTGTTCAGACAGCGCGTCTCTGATGCAATGTCAAAGTGTCAAATTTGTATATATGTTTGCATATTACCCACTTGTATGGCCTGTCTGGCTACAAGTCAGGCATTGTGCAGTGCACGTTCGAGCTAGTCCAGAGTCATTGATCGGTAAACAACATCTTTGAGCAGGGAAAGAAAGCTCACCATTGTGACCGAGTTGGTTCAGGAAGCACGGAAGGCTGAGCAGGCAGCTGTACAGTCATTGGGAAATTTTTGTGAATTATAGGCAATAAGTCAGCGGCATAGTGAGCACGCTTGACCCAGTCGACAAGTTGTATAAAATCTTGCTCATTTGGAGTTTTTTGCCATTTGCGAGATAAATAATATCCTCAATGAGCGTGTCACCCAGTACAATCCAGTCGCCTATCCATATGTTACCCTGGAGATCTGGATACCGGCAAGCAAATTCTTCTTTCCGCCAGTCCCGGAGCGCATTGCCTAACTGAGAAGAAAGGTTCAGATCTTTTTGATAGTTCGATTTTGCGTGTTGAGGTAGCCACTTTGTGGGTGGCTCTCCAAGTTCGTGATCAAACATTAGCGCCGTGAGAGATGGGCTGTGGAGATCACAACAAGTCACGGGCTCATAGAAGTTACAGTGTCTACAGCATTGGTGGGGTTTTCCTGACATAAGAAATGAGGTCAGGCACATGTCAATAACACATCCTTCAATACATACCAATGCGGTCATTCCCGAAGTGAACGTCAAGGACTTTCCTCCGGCAGCCATGGCGAGGGTCACTTTTGGGGAGCCAAGGTGCGTTGATGAACGCGTCCAATGCAGGGTCAACATTCTCACGATCTCCAAGGTTCTTCCTCCAGCTTGTCCCCTTCAACAAATTTGTCACACCAAAGCCAGCATTTCCCTGGCCGCAGAACTCATCATCCTGGTCTATGTCCATAACACCACTGCCCCTTGTTCGCTTCCTACCATCTGTGGCTGTTCTATAAGCTTGTAGTCAAAATTCTTGAGCTGGGCCACTCACTTGTATTTTCGACGGCCTCCAAACAATGATCCCCTTCCAACTCAGCCAACTCATTCTCCAGCTCTTTCTCAGCGTCATCTAGAACTGCTTCAAGCTCTGCTAACGTCATGTTATCCCACCCATCCCACTCCACTTCTGGGTTGAGATGTTTTTGGCTGACATCGGTGGTCCCTGAATTCTCGAATGGAATGCCCAGAGTGATATCAACATCGCTGGATGGCCATATGTCTGCTCTGGGTGGCAGGTCAGGGTCTGGACGATGAAGTTCAAGTAAGTGATCGTCGAAGTTTCCATTTTCTGCAGGGGGGGCGACATGGACATGATTTTTTGAAGTTCCCCTTTTTCGGCGTTTGTTCTCCGGTCTCTGCTCACTGAAAGTTGCGGTATTAGCCTTCCGCTTCTTGTTCTCCGCCGTCTTTCGGGCCCTCTCCTCTCGCTGGCGATGCGTCCCCTCAAAGTAGTCTTTGGGCGCTGTAGGCGGGATAATCGCCCACGCACAGAGCCGGCTTGGATACCCGATTTCACGACTATAAAACCACTTCCATTCACACAACAACTCGATACGGATTCGGTATCTAAAAATAGTACTAATTCGTACGATTCTGACGATATCAAGAACGTCCCAATCGGTGGAGATTTGACGGAGTTCCGTGTTGGAGGAGTTAGGCACAGCAGGTCACGAGTATGTGCGGGCGTGGGAATCTTAAGCAGCAACCCAGAATTCCAGCCTCACTCGTTCCCACGGCGTCTAATAAATTGGTAAAAATGCTCATTGGCTGCATAATAGTTCCATTCAGCCGCATTTCCAATTTTGGCCTTTAATTCCGTAAATCCGTTGAGAAATCGCTTATTTCCTTATATTTTCATATTTTGCCATCATTTCAGATATTGATTGATGTTCTTTTATTGTTACTGTTACCCTTTTTTATTACTTTGCCTAATAAGGTATGCAGGTGCCATATGGTACCAATATTTCTCATCAATTATTCTAAAAATAATTGTTCCTTATATCCTGTACATACCGGATTTTGGAATAGAAGTTCTCCCCTCCCCCATTTTTCTCTAAGGTGCTAGGACGCGCTAGAGAGGGTGTGAGTGTGTGGAATTCCAACAGTAGGAATAAGGGCAGCTGTCTAGCTCACAACGAGTGAGTAGTGGACGCTGAGCCCGGACCTTGCGGAAATCCCGGAGAACCCACACGGAGTTTAAGGATCGAGAGTCAAGCGAAGTTTAGAGAGAAAGTAGAGAGTTTAGGAGAGTTTGGCCCCACGAGCTTAGTCGGCATAGAGAGCCACGAGCCCTCTTGCAGCGCGAGAAGGATAACAACAGCTGAAATGTCCGGATTCCGAGCGGCTCTTCCGAAGCGCTGAGTTAACGTGTTCAAATTATCTGGTGGCCCAAATTGAACCAAATGAGTTACATTGGCTAGATCATGACCCTGTGTGATTTCAGTCAGACATAGGATGCTGATCTGGGGATACGAGAGTCACCAGTCCCAATGATTCCGTACTTGTGAGTCCAATAAGATTCCCTTCTTTAAACGATTTGACCACCATCAACTTATGATCATCTGACATTCCAGAATGCACCCAGACGATTCTCTCTCTCAGGGATGCGCACACTCTTGACCTCAGGAAGTCGGCACTACGCTCGGCGTCAGCACGAGACTCGCAATACACAAGGAAGGGGACTGGAGGGGGATCGGACTCTTTTAAGCCCAGTGGGATGAGGAACCCCAAGTCATTGCAGGAATTTCTACTGTATTGCATTTGATGGACACAGTAGTGAAGATTTGGACGGTCATTGGAGCGACGCATCCATTTTGTTGTCTTGCCATCATGAGTGCTGTAGTACGGGTCCAACCCAATGGCTGCTAATACTTTTCTGCACATCCGAGGGTCCAAGGTAGCCGAGGTGAGATACCATTGACATCTATTTCGGAGGTAAGAGTATAGCCATGCCAAGTTCTTATATGCAGCTCGGAATGAGAGCCACTGGACCACACAGTGTGCTTCATCGACAATAATGCGGTGGATTTTACTGACAAAGTCATCCTTCACCCAGAGGGCTCTAAGGAGGTTCCCTCAAAGCAGATCGGGCCCAAGAACAACAAATTGGTATTTCATGTCCCTGATGGCCTGCTTGGTGAGTAACATCAATCTTTGCATGGATAATCGCTCATTAATTATTACGTGCCTTCACAATTTCTTTATTTACAGTACTTGCTTCCAATGCTATCGCAGTGAGCCCCAAATCCTTGGCACTCTCCACGTGCTGATCTGCAAGTTTCCTCAGCGGCACAATTACAAAGGAGACTCCAGGTTTATCCTTTTTGAAGAGGGCAGGAAGGAAAAAAGTGTACGTTTTTCCTGTTCCTGTTGCCGCTGTTGAGACTAAGTTCTGTTTTGGCTTGCGAAGGAGGAACTCTGCAATTTCGGCTTGGAACCAGCAGGCACATCGGTTCCATTTCCTCTCACTTAGAGCCCTTATTTGCTCAGCTGAAGGTGTCTGATCATCTGCTGCTCGTTCTACAGACCCGCTCATGGTGGCATGGTGGTTGGAAGGAGCCAGGAGGGGTTTGAGGCTGAGGTACTAGCTTTCCTGTCAGTCCCGGAAGTTGCCATGGAGCATCGCCACTGCCATTTTGCACCAGTCATCAGAGCAAAGTGTCGCGAGTTGGTTTCCGGAGTAGGTGATCGGACTTGTGTTTATGTCCGTCGCATGTGACTTTTATATTGTAATACACTTTTGTACTTGAACGTGACTTTATAACTGAATTGTAATATAACAACCACTTAGTCGAGATTTTGCGCATCCACGTAGCGGAGACAGCTGGGTACGAGTCTGCTACAACTATGCCTTTTCGATGGTAGCACCAACTCCATCATAACCTGCACTGTTGATATTCCCCTCTGCTTCACTTCTGGAAACATCACCCCCATGACTTTCTTTGTCACATTGCTGGATGGATCTTGTTCTCTAGTCCTAGCATACAACTGGCTTACCCGCTACAATCTGTTGATTGACTGGGTCTCAAGCAGTATTACGTTCTGAACTCCTGAACTAACCAAGACAGTTACTCCGAGCTCTCCCCTGTCATCTCCAGCACCACTGCCATTGTCTGACATCCAACCATCTGATGTTCCGTTAGCACCTCAGCCTCAGGCTCCCATTTCTCCATTACCATCTATCAAGTTCATCAGCTGTTCTGCATTCATGAAGGCATGTCGACTTGAAGGATCAGTATCCTTCAGCCTAACCATCCCTTCCCAGGACAGCCGCTTGAGGGCTGCCTCCTCCCACACTCATTCCATTGACCTTTTGGCCATTCCAAAGGAGTACCACAAGTTTGCAGACATGTTCAGCAAGAGCAAAGCCTCAATGCTAGCACCGCACCATGAGCACAACCTGAAGATCGACCTTGAGGAAGGCACTTCACCACCCTTGGGAACTATGTATTCCCTCTCTACTTCAGAACTCGAGGCTCTCCAGGCATTCTTAGATGAACACCTAGCCTCTGGGTTCATTCATCCCACTACTTCCGCTCACACAGCACCAGTTCCCTTTGTCTGCAAAAAAGATGGATCCCTCCATCTTTGTGTTGACTTCTGAGGGCTGAATAAGATCATCAAGAAAGATCGCTACCCACTTCCCTGCATCTCAGACCTCCTTGATGCACCTGTCAGGGACGCGTCCAGGGTGGAGGGGGCCCGGATGTAGCACCCAGCAGAGGGACCCTCTCAGGGGGCGAAGCAGGCATGCATGCTGACAGGCCTGATCTGGGACTGTAGTCCCTGGCCACTTAGACTGAAGTGGAAAATGTGAATTGTTATTAAAAGGAAGAACTACACTACTTACCTGAAGTGGAAAACATGAGAAGAAGGTTACTTCTTCAGTTCCCACTTCAGGTACATTTATGTACATGCGGCTTGGGTCACATGATGGGTGCCACGTCATCCACGGAGAGAGCCACAGCCATCTGGGTGTCCCCACGAGGGATCCTGAGGGCATCCACTGCAGGCGCACGTGCTAGGCATTGTCATATCCATTCCCGGCCATCAACTTCCGGGCTCTCCGACCCCTCCGTTCTAACTCCGCTCCCCCCTCACCAACCTCGGAGCCCCCATATTCCGCAAACCTCCCGGTGCCCCTCGATGACCACCACCCCTTCATTTCAATTTATTACCTACGCCTCCCTAAGTACGGAGCCCCGAAGACTTCCGGACAGCTCCGACGTCCGCTAGCGCACTCCCGCCTCCGCTGGGCAATACACTCGCCTGCCCTGCAGAGTCCACCTTTGGGCTTATCCCTCCTTTCCGTTTCTGGGTTAACGCCTGCCTTTCCGCTAACCCCGCGAACCGACTCGTCGGTAATATTCAGTCGGCTAATGTCTTAACCCCATTAGCTCCGCTCCGTCCGGCTCCGCCAATTGCGGAACCGTCTCCGCTGTAACCATATATATACACTACTTGTACATAGGTTACGCCCCAGCAGATAAATCAACTAGAGTTACCCCCACTAGGTTCTAAGTGCCAGTCAGTAAGTTAGGGCACGGACGTGTCACTAGGCACAGCGCTCCTGGCAGAAGTCGCTGAGGCCAAAGCCCTCCGTTACGGAGACATTCCTTCGTCTTAAAATCTGGTTTCTGACAGACATCAAAAGTCCGAGCTCAGGGAAAAGACGATGTTTGCATAGGATCCATAATTAAAACATACAACGAAATTTACACAGAAATTATTAAAAATGGGGAACTATAGTTATGCAAATTTTCAGCCCAAACGGTCCAGCCGTTGTGAAGTTATACCCATGACAGGAATATAGAAATCCGCATCATGTGTAATGACACGTGAGGGTGGCGATGCGCAGGGAACCAGCCGTCGGAACCGAGATCCGCACTTCGGCAGATCGCAAAGACCAATTTCTGTCCAAATAAGGAAGAGCCCGGTCAAAACAAAGCACGGAAAGTGCAAAACAACCTTAGATCATGAGGGAAAAATCTGAAATAAATCACAGAAGCCCATATGAAAGAAATAAACACCCACGCATATCATAAATCCCGAACAATTAAACGAAAACAGCTCCCGCATACAAACGACTATGGGAACGACGCACATGATTACCAAATGTGCGCGCAAATCTTTGCTAACTCAACGAATACCAGGAAATAGGACACAATCTTAGTACCATTGGAAAGGTGGGAATAAATAAAAATTTATGATACCAAGAACGTGAGATAACATCCAGAAATGAATGAGATACAAGGACATGAAGTTAGAAACCTGAAAACGCGTGGGAAGACAGCTTCAAGAGGTCCAGAGTCCTAAATAAAATAGATAAAAATATGATATCTTCAAGGACAACCTACTATAACAACCAACAATACATATGGAGGATTAGGATGTGATAATACAAAAGGGAATCAGGGAATATGAACGAAATTCACGAAAACCACTAAACTACGACGGACCATGGCAGGAATTTTAGGGAACGATGTTCTAATGAAGTGGAGAGCTATAACACATTCGTTTGAGTAATTATTGACTACTAGCAACTTTTTCTTTCAGTTTTAAACCTGAATAATTCACTCATTTATCATTTCAGTCTCATGTTAACTAAATGTCACTAAATAAAATTGGAATAAATCAGCTGAAGGTCTCAGCACAGCCGTATGCATAGTAATGCGAAGTTTGAATTCAGAATCATCGAGTCATAGCAAATTTAATGGTATATATAGGGAATTTGAAATAGGTAACTGTGACAAATACAGCGCAGTCAAGTTCCAATTAACCATTAAAATAGCTTAGGCGAGGGAGGACAATAAGAATTCTAGGTGCAGTCTGACCGCAGTAGAACCGCAGTTCAGCGCAGCATAAGCGCAGTAGAACTATAGCATGAAAATTTCATTTTTTATTCAGTTTTGTTAGAACTGGGCAGATTCGGACGACTCCGGAATGGAATCGGAGACTTAGCGTGGAAGGACCTCGGCCTCAGCGACTCAGGCGGAGCGCTGTGCCATTGCTGGTTGTCCTAGGGGTCCCTAATTTCAGATCTAGCAGAGGGAAAGTCTCTTGGGGGGAATTCATGTCGATTTCGGACTGAGGTTACAAGTTACTATGTACATTGTATATAAGGAGGGGTCCGGAATCAAAAGGAGCAAGGGTAGGACGAAAGGAGACAAAGGGAGATGGAAAGAGGAACAACACCGAGGGTCAAGGGTTTGACTCAATGGTGTTTCTCAAAGGAGGAATGAAGGGCCAAGGCCCAAGGAGGAAGGAAGGAGGTTGGGAGTGGGGAATGGCTAGCTGACTGAATAGAAAGGAAGCAGCAGCCCAAATAGGAATGAGGGAGAATAGCGGAATTGAATAGGACAATGCAATAGTTGCAAGGTCCGAGGTAAGTCTGGAAAGTCTGAACTCGGAAGTTAAACTCCGGAATATTGGCAAACATAATTAAATGGAATGAGCTAACCAATACAATGGGTATAAGCGGAGGTGGGGTCAAAGTCCGAGGTCAGAGCCAAGACCGGAGGTTCCGGAGATGGAGACGCGAATGGGATTCCGGAGCAGAGGTCCGGAGTCAGGAGCTTAGGTTTTGCATACTCATCTGGAAGGTGTCGAGGTTGGGGTCGGACCCGGAATGTTCTGGAGTCGGACCGAAGGTGGTGTCCGAGCCGGAGGTGGGGTAAGGTCTTGGGAGTTGGCAAGGAGAAGGTGACGGAAGGGAAGTAGGACTCCGGAAGTCGGGTTTGGAGTTCCGGGAGCCCGGAGTGGAGGTTGGGATTGTATGGATATGACAAGTTTGAGAAAAATACACTGTAAATAAATCC